TAGGTGAACCCTTGGGGGGAGTTTCATGGGGTTGGGGGGGGGGGGGGGAGGATGCTGACCAGTCCACAGGGAGCTTCTTTCCACAGTTAGATTATCTTCTCCGGAGTGTCTAGGTTGTTTCCTGTGCCGGATGCAAAATAGAGCTTTTTTTCCTGTTCTAAAACGTTTGGCGTGAGACCCAGTTTGGTGTCGTGGTTCAGTGCGCGGACTCTGATCTGGGAGAACCGGGTTTGATTCCCCACTCCTCCACTTGCAGCTGCTGGTGTGACCTTGGGTCAGTCACAAGTTATCTCAGAGCTGTTCTTGAAGGAGGAGTTCTGGAAAGAGCTCTCTCAGCCCCGCCTGCCTCCCAGGGTGTCTGTTGTGGGGAGGGGAAGGGAAAGGAGTTTGTCAGCCACTCTGAGACTCCGAGTGAAGGGCCAGGGCTATAAATGCAGTCTCCTCCTCCTCCTTCATCCGATGGGACAGATCCACTGCGCCAGGGGTCACCAGTGTGGTGCACAGGGATGCCATAGCTCCTGCCAACAGCTTTTGTGGCCCCCACCAAGTGTTTTTAGAAAATGAGCTGAGCCGGGTGGGGCTTTTGCCCAGCCAGGCTTCTGATTGGCCACGGGAGATTTGATGAGCTGTACAGATTTTTTAGAATGTTGCTTCGGCGGCCTCCACCACGACGGCACCAGCACTGACTCCACCTCCCGCATTTTGTGGCAGCCAGTTTGTGCTCGCCCCCGCCGTGCCGTGTCAGAATGTCAAAGGTCCCTGCAGGCTCAAAAGGGTTGGGGGCCCCCTGCGGTGTGGCAGCCAGGAGTTTCCCCTGTTCTGAAACGTTTTCCGTTTTGTGTTTCAGAAATGTTTTGAACATAAACCCAGAATAATCAGCAAAAGGAATAAAGATAACTCCGCGTCTTGTTCCCATCCTGCTATGCACGACTTCGAAGACAACAAGTAGGTCCAAAGCCTTCAGTTTTAAAAGTGGCAGCAATCACAGATAGGTTTGTGTTCTAGTTGCAGTCTTGGCACCTGTTTACTAGTGGATTATTCTAGCTCTAGTGTCAGTGTGAGGGTCCCCGAGGCATAAGAACGAGGGAGACCTCTCAGTGCTTCTGTGGTGTAATACCATCTAAACAGCAGGACCTAGAAGCTCAAATGGGCGTGCAAATCCAGTGGCCAGGGCCGTATGTCGGGCCATACACCACGTGTTCGCATTTAATGCGGGTGCAGAGTTCGGTTAACCCTAAACACCCCCCCCCCCCTTCATAGTGACTTTACTTCATTAGGGGACTTCCACCAGCCAACTGAGCATACTTGTCCATCAGAAGAGTGAGAAATTAAACCTTGTAGAATCCCTTCACTGCCACATGCCGTCTAATAAGAGAAGGCGTACCTTAGTCACACTTTCCTTCCCCCACCTCTGCGAGATCCTGAGAGGGCGGCATGGCAGTCTCGAAATGCAAACGGGCAAAACTGTGTCGGCAGCCGGAAATGGCCGTTGCGGCAGGTGGAAAACAAGCATTGGACAAATACAGTAAAGACCGAGTGGCAGAGCTGGCTTTTTTTTGGGTGGGGGGGGAGAAGTGGAGCTGTGAATTGGGGAACAGTGGCGGGAAGGAGTATTGAGTCGCAGCTGACTTAACGGCAACCCTGTCGGGTTTTCAAGGCACGAGACTGAGGGGGCCCCCTAACTTCCAATTTTTTTATTTTCTTTGTGGGGCTCCCTTCTGTGTGTGCGTGGGTGCGTGCGTGTGCGGGGTGCCTCCTGACTTATTAAAGCCCCCCCCATTTAAAAATCCTGGCTACGGGCCTGTTTGCCGTTGCAGCTCAAATCTCACACGCCGTGAGATGGCTGGGTTGCCCTTCGGGGAGCTGCCCTCAGAAATCCACATTTGTGGGCACAGCAGCCAACGCTCCCTCTCAGCCGTGGAGTCTTGTGAGCAAAAATTCTACTTTTGTGAGCTCCGGGCATTCAAGTTGTGAGCGAGCGGTTCGGCTCCTGCATCAATTAAGTTTGCTCCGGAGCCCCTTCCTTCCTGAGCGAAGGCGAAAATGGGTGAGCCAGAGGCTAAAAGACTGTGAGCCGGCTCACACTCACTCAGCTTAGAGGGAACACTGACAGCCGCACAGTGGTACCCTTTTGAGGCGTTGAATGCATTGCAGCAAAAGAGCGCTTGTGCCGGGTTTGGCATGAGAGAGAGCCTGGCGCAGCGGGGATGGAAAGCGTGGTCAAGCTGTAGCTGAGTGACGGTGACCCCGTAGGGTTTTGAAGGCAAGAAACATTCGGAGGTGGTTAGGGTTAAAAAATAATAATAAAAAAAATAATACAGAGCTTCTAAAGCCATTTCTAACAGTTCTGGTTTGTTTTACGCATCTGACTTGCAGTCGGTGTTTTTAAAGTAACAAGGCACAAATGTGGATAGCGCGGAGCTGTCCGCCCGGCCTGACAACCTCAACGAAGCGCAGACTTTGAAGTTACCTTTTAGAGCCTTCCCTTTACTCACGCTTGACCTTTTTTTAAAAAAAACCCAAGGTGCCTTGTCCACATCTTGCGAGAGACTACGGTAAAGTATTCCAAGATCCGACCTTTCCACAGTCAGTGTCAGCTGGATCTGTGCAGGCACGAAGTTCGGTATGGCTGTTCCAGGGACGACGAATGTTTCTACGCTCACAGTCTCGTCGAGCTCAAAGTGTGGATAATGCAGAACGAGACAGGTGGGTCAAGGGTAGGAACGGTGCTTTAAAAAGTGCCTCCGGGCATGTGCAGAGTGCATTTTTTAAAATTGTGACGTGTGTCCTAACATCTCTGGAACTGAGGAGAGGGCTTTTGGCTCGGAACCCCAGCAGCAGCGGGGAAATCCTTTAAACTAATTGTCCTTGAATGACGCCCTTTGAGAGAGAGTGGAATCTGTATCCTTACCGGTCTTGCCTTTTAGACATTTGTCCTTATCACGTCCTTGTGATTCGTGACATTTCCAGCACACAGGAAACTGTATCAGAGGCGTCTGCCCTGGCGGACTCTCAGAACTCCTGGTGCTGGGTCTTTTTACAAAAGACGACTGCCCGTTTTCAGATGCACTCGAAAGGCCCTAACCTGAGATGTCACCCTTCCTGGAGTTCGCATTTTTCCTTTGCTTTTCCACACAGTCAACCCCTGTGCAATATCTGTGAACTTCTTGTAGACCGCCCCATTCGTGAAAGGGTTTTCCGTATCATTTAGCAAGTTTATCGTAAGGCGTGTTTAAATGTTAAATCACCAGTTTGGGGCATTGTTTCAAGAAATGAAAGTACTGGAGGGGCGGGGGAGCAGTTAAGGCAAGAGTCAGAAATGTCACAGCTGTCCTTTGCGTCTCCCTCACCGCAGGTATTTCTCACGAGGCTATTGTGCAAGAGTCCAAAAAATATTGGCAGAATATGGAGTCGAATGCCCTTGGCGCCCAGGTATTTTTGACTTTGCCAGTGGTTTCCTTGGGAGTGTGTGAACTCGTTGCTCTGTGAAACGAAACTGGTGTTGACCCGAAGTGCGAATTGGGGGTTATCGAGGGCCGGGCGAGGATCGGACGCGCAGCCAGGGGACCTTGGGCCAGTCACATGCTCTCCGCCTAACCTACCTTGCAGGGTGGTGGTGAGGATAAAATGGAGGAGAGAACGGCGTGAGTACGGTAGGATTTTTGCTCACAAGACTCCACAGCTCAGAGGGAGCAATTGCTCCCCGGCCTCCTGAGGGGGAAGGGTTGCAAGCAATGTTCCCTCTAAGCTGCGGAGTCTTGTGAGCAAAAATTCTACTTTGTGAGCTATTGGCATTAAAGTTGTGAGCGAGCAGTTTGGCTCCTGCATAAATCAGTTTGCTCTGGAGCCCCATCCTTCCTGAGCTGAGACAAAAATGTGTTCGACGGAGGCTAAAAAACTGTGAGCTCGCTCACACTAACTCAGCTTAGAGGGAACACAGGGGGGGGGAGTATGGGAGAGTGTGCCGGGCGTCCTAAAAGTTCCTTGAACTCTGGAGCCCTTTTTTAAAAAAGGAAGAGTTAATGCTTTCGATGACTGTCCTGAGGCTCCGGCTCTGAGCTGCTGTCGCCCGCTGATCATCTCTCTCATATCGCCTCCCGAGCGTCACCGTTTTACTACGGAACCCTTTCCGACTTCTAAAGTTGGGGCGGAACAAAAATTACGTTGGCATTGCTGGAGGCCCACATCAGCTCACGCTCTGCCCCCCTGCCCCGAAACTCTAGCAGGAGGCTACAGGGCTACCAGCACTGCAGACTAGCCACGGGGACCTAGAGTGCGGTCCTCGCAAAATCACACCCTTCCTCAGCCCGTTGACTTCCCTGGACTCAGAAGGGGGGATAAGTGAGGCTAGGGGGACACTGACACTCTGCCCTGAAAAGGGCAGGGTCCTTGCACTCCGCTGTACAATGGTGGGTTGAGGTTAGGGGTTGCCAGGTGAGGCTGACCAGCCGGTGGGGGACTTACCAGAAGGCTCCAGGAGAGGGAACGCCGAAGCAAGTTCTCGGTGAGCGGCCGTCAAATTTAAAGGGACTGCGTTCCTTTTAAGTGCTTCCCTCCGTTGGAAATAACAGAGGACGGGGGCACCTTCTTTTGGGGATCATAGAAGAAGAAGAAGAAGAGACTGGATTTATTCACCGCCCTTCACTACCCAAAGGAGTCTCAGAGCGGCTCACAAACTCCTTCCCCTCCCCCCTCCCCACAACAGACACCCTGTGAGGTTGGTGGGGCTGAGAGAGCTCTTGACAGGAACTGCTCTTTTTCAAGGGCAGCTCTTGTCGGAACTACGGCTCCGTGGTCCAGTCCAACGCTCCCTCTAAGGTGTGGGGTCCTGTGAGCAAAAATTCTACTTTGCGAACCACTGGCATCAAAATTGTTTGCTCTGGAGCCATCCCTTCCTGAGCCAAGACGAAAATGTGTGAGCCGGAGGCTAAAAAGCTGTGAGCTAGCTCACACCAACTCAGCTTCGAGGGAACACTGGCTCCAGTCTTTTGAAACTTGGGGGTGTCTTTTTGAGGAGAGGCACCAGCAGCTATGCGGAAAATTTGGTGCCTCTCACTCAAAAAACGGGGGGGCCCCAGAGCCATGGATTGATTTTCCATTATACCCTATGGGGACTGGTCTCCATGGGGGATAGTGGAGTGCCCAGCAACTTTCTGATAGCCCTGAAGCGGGGGGGGGGCTCCAAACTGGGGGATCCCCTGCCCCACACTGTTTGAGAGCCAGCTTGGTGTAGTGTTTAAGTGCGCGGACTCTAATCTGGGAGAACCGGGGTTGATTCCCCACTCCTCCACTTGCACCTGCTGATGTGACCTTGGGTCAGTCACAAGCTCTGGCACAGCTGTCCTTGAACAAGAGCAGTTTCTGTCAGAGCTCTCTCAGCCCCACCAGCCTCACAGGGTGTTGTGGGGAGGGGAAGGGAAAAGGAGCCTGTAAGCCGCTCTGAGTGAAGGGGGGGCTATAAATCCAATCTCCTCCTCCTCCAACTGGGGATTGGCAACCCTAGCTAGGGATGAAAGGAGCAATAGGGGGTGCAGCATTTGGAAGTGTGGAATTCTGACCCGAAATACGTGGCCGCCTCTGTCACATCGACACCCTTGTAGCCTGGCTTCCGACTTCATTCTTTGCTAACGGGATAATCCGTGAGGCATCTAAACTCGGAACAGCAGTGCTCACGCTGTGTCTTCTAGCGACGTCTGAAATGGCTCTTGGTTGCCGTGCGGCCTGAGTCGCTGCCATGCATGAGACAAACTCATGTCGCACGGGGGGGGGGGAGTTGTGCAGATGGTGGTTTTCCTTTCGCGTTGCAGGATGGCATCGATGTCAGCCACTGAAACGCGTTCAGGTGCAAAAGGAGCCCAGGCCACCTGACCGCCCTTCATAAACTTACTGAAAAGTATATACCGCGTCAAGCTAAACCCAGTTGCCTGAAATTTCTTTGGGCCCTTCTAGGAAAGCTGGGTCTCTTCCCAATGCTCCCTCTAAGCCAGTGGTGGCGAACCTATGGCACGGGTGCCAGAGGTGGCACTCAGAGCCCTCTCTGTGGGCACGCGTGCCATCACCCCAGCCAGGCCCAGACCATTAAAGTGTGGAATTCTCTGCCAAATAATTTTAAGTCAATGGAAGCATTTGGGATTGCGTTCCTTACTTTGTTTGGATCATCTTAAGTTAAGGTATGAGTTGTTTTTTCTAAAATAAAACCTCAGTATTCAGGTTAAATCACTTTGTGATGAATAAGTGGGTTTTGGGTCGCAGTTTGGGCACTCGGTCTCTAAAAGGTTTGCCATCACTGCTCTAAGCTGTGGAGTCTTGTGAGCAAAAATCCTACTTTGTGAGCTACCAGCATTGAAGTTGTGAGCGAGCGATTTGGCTGCTGCATCAATTAATGTGCTCTGGAGCCCCATCCTTCCTGAGCGGAGACAAAAACGTGTGAGCTAGCTCACACTAACTCAGCTCAGAGGGAACACTGGTCTCTTCTCTTAGATACTCCGGGTGTGCAGCAGCGCTAAAATATTTTCTCTCTCTCTCTCTCTGTCTGTCTCATGACTCCCAAGATTATCAACAACCAAGCGAAGCACGGCTCCCTTAATTTGAAAATGAAGTTTGTCTGCGCCCAGTGCTGGAGAAACGGGCAAGTTAGTGAGCCGGACAAGAACAAGAAATACTGTAGCGCAAAAGCGAGGCATCCGTGAGTAACGCTTTTCCAGTCCGTCTCTCAAGATGGCTTCTATACACACACATTTAGATCACCCGTGGCTCTTCCAGAGGGCAGCAGGGGGGTGCTCGGTTAGAACGTGTGCCTTGCGTGTGTGGAAACGTCTTGTCTGGGTAGGGCAGGGGTCCCCGAGATGGGCCCGTGGGTGCCGCCAGGCTGCCCGCTGACTTTTTTGGTGCCCGCCAAGTGTTTTTAGAAAGTAGGCGGGGCTTTTGCCTGGCAAAGCTTTCCGATTAGTTACTGGAGATTTGATTGACTGTCCGTATTTCCCTTGTCTCCAATCCGGAAGCTGCAGCTCCCATTCGGGAGCACACCCAGCCTTGTGCTGAAGGCATTGCACTGGCTGCCGATAGCATACCGGATTCGTTTCAAGGTGCTGGTTCTTACCTTTACAGCCCTTTAGGGCCAGGGACCTACATACCTGAGTGACCGCCTTGCCCCACATGTCCTCCAGAGAGCGCTGCGATCGGGGACCCCGAATCGGCTGGCCCTCCCGAGTCCCAAGGAGGCCAGGCTAACGACAACCAGGGCCAGGGCTTTCTCGGTGGCAGCTCCTCTCTGGTGGAACGAGCTCCCAGAGGAGATCAGGGCCCTGCGGGACCTTTTGCAGTTCCGCTGGGCCTGTGGAATGGAGCTCTTCCGCCAGGCCTTTGGAGCCACCGCCATGGTTGGAGAGCCCTGTTTCTCCTGGGATTTCTAAGGGCAGCCTGAGCCAGCCGCCTAAGACGATGTAAGAAGACCCAAGGAGCCGATTGCGAGGAGAGAATTGAGTCACAACCACCGGCACCAGCACTTTATTATGTTTTATGGCTTTAATGGTTTTAGAATTGTTAATTGTTTAATCGTTGCTGTTGATCTGTATTGTATATTGTATGTTGTTTTACATCAGCCGCCCTTGGCCGGGAGGGTGGGGTAGAAATTTAACACATCAGATCAAAAACGTTGCTTTACCGCAACATAAGGAGTTTCACCGGATGCCTGAGGGGAAGCCGTGGCGGCCATTTTGTGGCTGGCTCCGCCTCCTGTGGCAGCCATCTTGCGTGGAGCCGTTTTGAGACTGCCCGCCATGCTGTGTCAGAATTCCAAAGGTGCCTGCGGGGTCAAGAAATGTGGGGGACCTCCCCTGGGTTAGGGAGTGTGACAGCCGGGCTGTCTCCCGGCCTTATGAGAGTTCTCCGGCGCAGCCGCTGAATCCAGATGTTTGAAAGAGGGGGGACTGTTGCACTCCAAAACGATGGAACATCTGGACAACGCGAAGGACATCATTTATAGACGAGCCTCATGAGCTGGAAATGTTGTTTTTGAATGAGATTGTGAGTGGTCAAAATTACAGAATCAACCGGGGAAACGTAATTATGCAAATATAAATTCTTATACAATGTGAAAACAATTTATAAAAGTGCTACATACATAACTTTACCAAAGATTGCATATAAGAAGTAAGAGAATCACGATTCTAGGCTTCCTCAGAAGTAAATTCTCCCATTCAACAACTTGCATTTAATGAGTGTCATCTCTTTTATTCTCTAGTCATTTTCTGGAGGCATTCTAGACAGTCTAACACTCATTAGTGCAGAGTAGATTGGATTGGAGCCCGATATGAAGATTGTTGTTTCCTATTTGGAGTATAAGCTTTGACAAGCAAAGAAAATGACTGGAGAATAAAAGAGACGACACTCATTAAATGCAAGTCGTTGAATGGGAAAATTTACTTCTGAGGAAGCCTAGAATTGAAACGAAGACACAAGCCGGAAGCTTCGTTAATTAAACTTCTTGTGATTCTCTTACTTCTTATATGCAATCTTTGGTAAATTTATGTATGTAGCCCTTTTATAAATTGTTTTCACATTGTATGAAAATTTATATTTGCATAATTACGTTTACCGGTTGATTCTGTAATTTTGGTCTTTGAATGAGAGTCCCGAGATGTTAGTCCCCGGGGGGTCGGCTGATCTGTCCCGTGACGGTTCCTCTACTCAGTTGGTTGAGAATGTCGGTTACAGGGAGCAACTTTGAGTTTGTTTTGGTTATGAGATCCCTTCCAATCTGACCTTCTGCTGTGCGCATCTTGAACGATGTGTGGTTTTCGGCCCGGACTCCTCCAGGCGGATGGGGGCCGTGGTGGCTCAGAGATTAAGACGCTGAGCTGCAGACCGGAAGGTCGGCGGCTCAACAGTTCGAGACCCGAGTGCCACATGACGGAGTGAGCTCCCGTCTCCGGCCCCAGCTCCTGCCAGCCTAGCAGTTCGAAAGCAATAAATTGCAAGTAGATAAACAGGTACCGCTTCGGTGGGAAGGTAACAGCGTTCCGTGCACCTCGACGTCTAGTCATGCCGGCCACGTGACCTCGGAAACGTCTTCGGACAGTGCTGGCTCTTCGGCTTGGAAACGGAGATGAGCACAGCTGCCCTAGAGTCAGATTCGACTGGCTCTCGAGCAAGGGAAACCTTTACCTTTTCCCTTCAGGTGGACCAAAGATCGTCGGGTGGTGCTGGTGATGTCGAATGAGCGAAAGAAATGGATGACAATTCGCCCCCTTCCCACAAAGAAGCAAGTGCCTTTGCAGTTTGATGTGAGTGTGACTCTAAAATTAGGGCTTTTTTTTGTTTTGTTTGGGGGGGATGATTGAGCCTTGAGGGTGATGTGGCTTCTCAGGGACGGGAAACATACAGACCAGCATTTGTTCTTTGTCCAACATCGATTAGAAAAGGTGAAGTGTTTTAAACAACAGTTGCTGGAGTGCAGGTTGGAAGGCATTGCATATTCCTCCTCTTCGCCATAAAGCCCTTGAAGTGGCTTATAGGACCAGGTACAAAACCGCCCCCAAATCATTCGCTGTTCTAAAATCAGTGAAGCCGTACAACAGAAAATGCAGTCACGCAGGACTACCACCGCATCCTGCCTTTCATCTGAAGAGCTTGGGATGATGTGTGGGGGATAGACAGGTAGGGGCTGGGTGCCCCTTTACCTTCACAACAACCCTGCGAGGCGGGTTTATTTATTTGTTTTCTTTGATTTATATCTCACCCTCCCCGCGAGCGGGCTCAGGACGAATTACAGGGTCACATAAAAGTCGTGACAATAACAGTATCAAATTCAAAATTCAGAAAGTTAAAATTTAAACTTTGGTGCCAGAAGACCAGAGCACCAGAGTGAAGGTGGTTTCGGTAGTGATGCTCGTATGGAGCCTTCTAAGCGGTGTTCTCGGACATCAAGCCGCTAACTGTGAGGCCCGGCCTCTCTGCAGGAGAGGCCAAGAAACGGAAAATTTGGACTCCTGCTGCCTCAGCTGAAAGCCCCGTGGAACAGCTCCGTTTTACAGGCCCTGCGGAATTGTAACAGATCCCGCAGGGCCCTGGCCTTGTTCCACCAGGGCTGGGGCCAGGGCAGGAAAGGCCCTGGGGCCAGTTGGAGCCAGCCGGCCATCCTTCAGGCCAGGGACAACCAGAAGATGTTGATCAATTGAGCGCAAAGGTTTAGGCTCGGAGGTGGGAGAGTCGCCCCAGCCACTTGGAGCCAACGGTTGAAAAGGTCTAGCCAGGGGTCATTTCGTAGGAAAAAAGATGCAGGAGCTCATTAGCATAACTCATTAGCATACCTTATTTGCATATGTCCCACCACCTGACATCACCGGAAGTGTGTCAGAAGGCAATGCCCACCGCTCAGGCTCCACTGGACTGTTTTGGATTGCTAGCTATTGGGGGTGGGGGATGTGCAGATCTGTCCTCGCAGAGGAGGGAGAGCTTGTACCTGAATAAAACCTGGTCTTAAAGGTGCCACTGGACTGTTTTGGACCGGGGGGCCGGGGGGAGCTCTGCAACTTACCTGGCTGCTTCTTGCTCTGACTGAGGGCTGCTGGGAGCAGGGGGTGGGGCTTGTTTCACGTGCCCCCCCCCCCCCCCGGGCTCTTTACTGCCAGAGCTCCGCTCCTGTGCACTCCCGCAGGAAAGGACCCCTGGGTCCGGCACACTCTCCTTGACATCTCGAGGTGCCCAGTTATCTTCCTCTGCAAGTCTCCTTCTGTCGATGGGACAGAGGCCGTGTCTTCAGGTTCCTCCTCCTGCTCCTCCGGGATGCCGTTTGTCTGACCCGGTCACCTTTTTCTCCCCGGTCTCCCTTAGCTGTGCAATCATATTGCATCGGGCAAGAAATGTCAGTATGTCGGGAACTGCTCCTTCGCTCACAGCCCTGAAGAGAGGGAGATGTGGACCTATATGAAGGAAAACGGTAGTAAGTAAAGGACTTTCTGATGCGCTTTCAGGCCCCTGGCAAGCCCTGCGGGGCGGGACGGGACGGCTCTGTGCCTGGCCGGAAAATACCCAAAAGAGCATTGTACGGCTCTGCTGCGGTGATACGGCTACACACCGCATTCCTGTGAAACTTCTTCTGAGGATTTCCCCCTCTGCCTTGGCGTTCAGAAGCGCTTCAATGTTTAATTCCCTGTGAAAGGTACAGGGCAGGGGTGGCCAAACTTGCTGAACATAAGAGCCCCGTAGAGACACACATCAGATGTTTGAGAGCCGCAAGACATGAACGAATATAACCCACACATTTTTATTGAAAAATATGCAGATTTGTCTTTTTATTAACGTTAAATGAGACTGCCAAGAAATAAAAACAAAAGGGGGTAAAGATGCAACGGCGGCGGGGGGGGGCGGGAGACTGCGGCGGACGTTGCCTCGCTCTCCCTTCAGGCTTTGCTGAATCGATTGCAGCAGGGAGGAAAGTGCTGAAATAGCGCCGCGGCCCGCCCGCCCGCGCTCCAATGCAGGCAGAGCAGCCAACGTGACTCGCTCGCTCGCTCACGCACGCACCCCCCCCCCCCCCCCGGCTGGCTTGTCTTGGAGAAGGGATTTCAAGAGACAAATGCCTCCTCCAAGCCAGCCAGAGGAGGGGAAGTCTTTTAAAACGCATTTAAAGTTGAAGTTGGTTTCTTGAGAGCCAGTTTGGTGTCGTGGTTAAGTGCGCGGACTCTGATGTGGGAGAACCGGGTTTGATTCCCCACTCCTCCACTTGCACCTGCTGGAAGACCTTGGGCAAGCCGTAGTTCTGATAAGAGCCGTTCTTGAAAAAAAGAGCAGTTTCTGTCAAGAGGTCTCTCAGCCCCACCTGCCTCACAGGGTGTCTGTTGTGGGGAGGGGAAGGGAAAGGAGTTTGTAAGCCGCTCTGAGACACCTTCGGGTAGTGAAGGGCCATGGGGCATAAATCCAATCTCTTCTTCTTCTTCTTTTTTCTCTGCTCCCCCCCACCTCATGCCTCTGCAGGGAGGGGAACATTGGCTGGGAAAGGGAAGAATTTGTCCAGTGACATTTATTTGTTTGCTCATAATATTCCGCTTCCCCAGCCGCCCTGCTGGGAGCCACACAATATGTGCGAAAGCGCCCCATGTGGCTCCCGAGCCCCAGTTTGGCCACCCCGGTACAGGGCTACGGGACCCCTGCGTTTCCTGTTCTCGGATATCTGTGCCGTGCACCCTCCATTCCTTGCCCCTGCAGGCACGGCGTTCGGTAAACTGAGGAGCCCTCCTAAGACCCCGGGGGTTCTGGGAACTGGCTGTGAAAGGGGAGAATTGCTCTCAAAGCAGGTGTTTGCTTGCCAGGGTTCTGTTGTCTTCGTTAAAAGCTGCCGGCCATGTTTGCCAGCGCTATTGCCGTGTGCGTGCTCGCGACTCAGTTGCCCCCGACTTATTCCGCCCCCGACTTATTCCGCCCCCTCTCTCCCCTAGTTCAAGATATGGAGCAGCTGTACGAGATGTGGCTGAAGAGCCAGAAGCCGGAAAAGGGGGAGGACCCTGCTGCTCAGACCAACAAGGAAAACGGGAAGCAAATCCACATGCCGACCGATTATGCCGAAGTTACGGTAAGTCACAGAGAGCCGGCCGTTCTCCGGGGTTCTCGTATCCTTCCCTGTCGCAGCTTGGACTGCTGCCACCATTCCTGGGGAAATGGCAGGGACAGATGTTGGGACGTGAGCCCTGAGAGACCGGTCTGCCGGTCCATACCTATTTTCTTTTTACTCCACCGTGGTTTCTCCCTGTGCCAGCTGAGAGCACACGCTTCACGCCTTCTGAAGTGGGCCCTGGCCACGGTGACCCACTCTCGGCCACGGTTCGTTCTGTAAGGGAAGAGCTGAGTTTGCAAGGCACGTGCCTTGCCCGGATGGCGGCGGGACTGGTGGGACGCGCCGCCTTTCTGCAGCTGCTAATCCCGGTGTTTTGCAACCCACCCACCCCCCAGGTGGATTTCCACTGCTGGATGTGTGGGAAGAACTGTAACAGCGAGAAGCAGTGGCAAGGCCACATTGCCTCCGAAAAGCATAAGGAGAAAGTATTCCATACGGAGGACGATCAGAACTGCTGGCAGCATCGTTTTCCAACGGGATATTTCAGTCTTTGTGACAGGTGGGTGTCCTGGGGCTCCCCGGGATTTCGCTCGTCTGCAGTCGCGGTCGCTGTAAACATGCGGAGGGTGGCCGTGTAGGGCTGCAGGAGGACAGCTAGACTGGGGTCCAGGGGGATCGGAGAAGGTGCAGAAAAGGGCTGCCGAAATGATTAAGGGCGTGGAACGCTTTCCCGATGAAGAAACGTTCAAGAGGCGAGGGCTCTTCAGCTTGGAGAAATGCCGGCTGAGCGGGTGACATGTTAGAGGTTTACAAAATTATGCATGGGACAGAGAAGGCAGAGAAAGAAATACCTTTCTCCCTTTCCCACAATGCAAGAACTTGTGGGCCCTCCGTGAAATTAGGAGTGGTGGGCTTAGAATGGATAAAAGGAAGTCCTTCTTCACCCAAAGAGTAATTAACATGTGGAGTTCACTGCCACAGGAGGTGGCGGCGGCTACAAGCATGGACAGGTCAAGAGTGGGTTGGATAAACATCTGGAGCACAAGCTATAGATGGAACACTCTGTCTGGGGCAGTGATGTTCTGTCTTCTTGGTGCTTGGGGGCTCACAGTGGGAGAGCTTCTGGAGTTCTGGCCCCGCTGCTGGACCTCCTGATGGCACCTGGGTTTTGGCCACTGGGTGACACAGTGTGTGGGACTGGATGGGCCACTGGCCAGATCTAGCATGGTTTCTCTTGTGTTCTTATGTCTGGGACAGCGATGCTCTGCATTCTTGGGACTTGGGGGGAACAACAGAGGGAGGGCTTCTGGAGTTCTGGCCCTGCTGGTGGACCTCCTGATGGCACCTGGTATTTCTGGCCACTGTGTGACACAATGAGTGTTGGACTGGAGGGGCCACTGGCCTGATCCAACAGGGCTTATGTTTTTACATCTGGGGCAGTGATGCTCTGCATTCTTGGGACTTGGGGGGGGGGCAACAGAGGGAGGGCTTCTGGAGTTCTGGCCCCGCTGGTGGACCTCCTGAGGGCACCTGGTATTTCTGGCCACTGTGTGACACAATGAGTGTTGGACTGGAGGGGCCACTGGCCTGATCCAAGAGGGCTTAAGTTTTTACATCTGGGGCAGTTGTGCTCTGCATTCTTGGGACTTGGGGGGGGGGCAACAGAGGGAGGGCTTCTGGAGTTCTGGCCCCGCTGGGGGACCTCCTGATGGCACCTGGTATTTGTGGCCACTGTGTGACACAGAGTGTTGGACTGGATGGGCCACTGGCCTGATCCAACATTGGCTTCTCTTATGTTCTTAATATGGAGCAGAGGTCCATCAGCAGCTCTTAGCCACAAGGTACAGATAGGAACTCTCAGTCCGGGGCAAGGGATGCTCTGTCTTCTTGGTGCTTTGGGGGGGGCACAGTGGGAGAGCTCCTAGTGTCCTGGCCCCACTGCTGGACCTCCTGAGGGCACCTGGTATTTTTGGCCCCTGTGTGACACAGAGTGTTGGACTGGATGGGCCATTGGCCTGATCCAACATTGGCTCCTCTTACGTTCTTATGTAGTCCAGGGCACCTCAGTGGCCAACAAGAGTTTCAGGGTGTAAGATTTTGAGAGTGAGAAAGGTCCCAGGAGCTTTGACTCTCATGGGTGTACGCCTTGGAATTCTTTTTGGCCACTAAGGTGCTCCTGGACTCCAGTAGGCAGCATGCAGTTCTGAGCACAGCGGGCCTACACCTTTATGAACCAGTTCACCCACAGTCTAGACTCCTGCTTTGAGGCAAAGCATCCCCTGTGGGGGAAACGTCTCGTTTTTCATAACTGCAAGCAGTGTGGGTGGACTGGAGAGACCGCAGTTGGGAATGCGGCTGACTGAGTAGTGCGACGGAAACATTCTGAGTGATGAAGGGTGACCGATACATGCCCTCCTCATTTTAATGTGTTTCCTTGCAGTTGCCTACTAGTAGGCGACAAGTCATCTGTTTTGTTGGTTCTCATGGCAAGGGTGGAAAACAACCAAGGCTGCCCCACCTCCCAGACGTTTGGTCAACATTTAAATTCTTTTTTAAAAAATCCATAGGCTCTGTATGGTCCTCTGTTATTTAGGGTACTTGTACACTGCCATTCAGCCTGCGGGCAGCCATTGAGACAGATCATGATAACTTTAAAAGAAAACCATTTAAAATAAAGGAACATGCCTTGACCCACATTTCTGACAAAGGGCAAATAGGACCTCACCCCCCCCATGCACACACACACACCCAGTCCATTATAAGAACCTCAGAAGAGCCCTGCTGGATCAGACCAGTGAAGGTCCATCTAGTCCAGCATCCCGTCTCACACAGGGGCCAGCCAGTTCCTCTAGAGGGCCAACAAACAGGACATAGAGGCCGAGGCCTTCATAAGAACATAAGATGGTGCTCTCCTGCTGGATCAGACCAGTGAAGGTCCATCTAGTCCACCATCCTGTCTCACACAGTGGTCATCCAGTTCCTCTGAAGGGCCAGCAATAGGGCATAGAGGCTGAGGCCTTCATAAGATCATCAGAAGAGCCCTGCTGGATCAGACCAGTGAGGGTCACTCTAGTCCAGCATCCCGTCTCACACAGGGGCCAGCCAGTTCCTCTGGAGGGCCAACAGCAGGGCAGAGAGGCCGAGGCCTTCCCCTGAGAAGCACATAAGAAGAGCCCTGCTGGATCAGACCAGTGAAGGTCCATCTAGTCCAGCATCCCGTCTCACACAGGGGCCAGCCAGTTCCTCTAGAGGGCCAACAAACAGGACATAGAGGCCGAGGCCTTCATAAGAACATAAGATGGTGCTCTCCTGCTGGATCAGACCAGTGAAGGTCCATCTAGTCCACCATCCTGTCTCACACAGTGGTCATCCAGTTCCTCTGAAGGGCCAGCAATAGGGCATAGAGGCTGAGGCCTTCATAAGATCATCAGAAGAGCCCTGCTGGATCAGACCAGCCTCCCGTCTCACACAGGGGCCAGCCAGTTCCTCTGGAGGGCCAACGACAGATCAGAGAGGCCGAAGCCTTCCCCTGATGCTGCCTCCTGGCTCTGGGATTCAGGCGCTTAGTGCCTTTGAATGTGGAGGTTCCCCTCAGTCGCCATGGCTAGTATGTGAAGAATGTCTACAGCTAGAGTGAGAGCTCAGTAGAAGGCACATTGTGATCTGCTCCCAGACTGGCGCAGAGTCTTGGAGGATTTTGCGTTCCTCTGGGCATAGAGCATGTGACACTGGGAGGGAATGAATGGGGGGTGGAGGGTAGCTGTGAATTTCCTGCATTGTGCGGCGGCTATATCCCAGGAAGTGAGACAACACGCTAGTCCTTAAATAAATGTTGTCTTTACTAAAGGTTTTTCATCAGGCATACAAAATCGGAATCATACAAATTCATACAAGCTCCTTAGTTACAATAGTACATTAGAACAATTACAGCATAGAAAATAACAAAAGCATCAAAATGGGGATGACACAATGGGGCACGGCTATACTCATCTGAGGTCCAGCTGAGGAAGAACTCTCCTCCTTGGAACGCTGGGCAGCCGAAATGCAGCAGCTTGTGAACTCCAAGGCACACAGGTAGGACCAGCCAAACCACGTGTGAGCTCTCTGGGTCGCGACTCCGGAGAACTTAGGTAGTAGAGTCACTTGTAGCACCTTAGTGCACTGCTATGGGGAGGGTGGGTTAACCAGAGAGACAAAGGAGAGTTTCTCCTTAAATAAACTCTTTTTGGGGCATGTGCTATCCAGCCATAAACTATCAAACCCGTCCTCTAAACTATCACTACTGGATGAAGAGGGGGTGACGAGGGGATGACGCTCTCCTAAGGGGTGGTGGCAATATGTAGATCCTACTCCTACATCAAAGGTGCCTTTTGGCAAGGTGTGAATCTTCCGTTCCCATGGACACCTCTTGATTTGCAGATCTGGTTCCTGCTCCAAAGCCATAAACGCTATTGTCTTTAGATCTCCAAACCAGATTAAGGGAGTAGGGTCACTTGCTCTTTCCATTCCAAGAATGCCGGGGTTCGCTGGGGATTTTCCATAGCTCTCCAAGTGGGTGCAATGGCGCGGTGTCTTCTCCATCCCACAGAGTCATGGGATACATTCCAGGGACGCACATGGTCCGTATGTGCAACGGCAGGCCCAGGCCAGCCTATTTCTAGGCAAGCATGAGATGCAGAACAAAGCAACACACAACATACAGCAATCCCTGAATACACAATGCATAGGTATTCATGCTAGAGACACACATAAGCAGCATCACCACTATACAGAAATACAAACATAAGCTCATATCGTTACAGCCCCTTCCAGGAGCTCTCTCTTTCTGTGCTTTAAGGTCATGTATCGCAGTGCGTCCTGAGATTCCAAGGCCACGTGGAGTCCTGGCCCCTCAGTCCCACGCCCGACACGCACTTTCTCGGTTGCATTACACACTTAGAAGATGTATGACTCTGTTCGTTCTTTGTTCTTTTTTCGAGAAACAGGTATATGGCCGGCGCTTGTGCGGAGGGAAACAATTGTAAATTTGCCCACGGGCCTGCGGAGCTCCGGGAGTGGGAAGAGCTAGGCAGGTTCTACGAATGAAGCTGAACAAAGCCCGAAAAGACCACTTGATTGCTCCGAACGATAATGACTTTGGAAAATATAGTTTTTTGTTTAAAGATTTAAACTAACACTTATAACAGATGCATTCGCGTTACCCGATGGAAGCATAAATCAGAATTTGACAGTAATCAAAAGCATGAGACAGAAGCTGCAGATTTTCTGCTTTTTCTTGGCCTGTATTGTCCCTCCTGAAGAACAAACTGTAGTAGATTGTGTAGGGGGAAAGTCGGTGCGTCTGTCTGTGCTCTCATGAAAACAGAACGGTGAACTAATAATAAAGCAAAAGTCCGAAGTCTTACGTGCTTCTTCACCTTCTGTGGGGTGGAAGAGAGGTGGGAAGTCACAGGAGGGGGTGGCGTTGTCAGGGCTAGGAAGTGCCTCGTGGTGGTCCTTTGACTATGGGGAAAAAAACCCTTTTAAGGTCAGCTTATACACAAAAACCAGGTGTTCTGGGGCTCAAAACGGTATAACGATGGCTGAAAATTCTTCAGATGTTTTAACGGAGAGGATTTGTTTAAAAACAAGTTTGCTATTTATGTCTATGTAGGTTGCTTAATTAATTAAAAAATGGATTTTTTCTTAAAAGATTTTAAGCAAAATAACCATTTAACGGCAATATATGTTGAATGGGGTATTTTTTCTCTCTTTGTATGTTTCCATATAACTTACTGGAAAAATGGATCTTGGAAGAAAGACACATATAACTTTTTTTGAGAATCAAGTAGTTAAAATTCTGTTTTCTTGGTCTTTGCTGTTTAAATGACGATTTTGAACGATTCCACTTGTATGTCAGTATTGTGTATTGTATGGACCAATATTGCCTGTAATAAAATTAACTTTCCATAAAAAAAACACTTTCCTACAAATATATCTTCAGACTTCTCCAGGAGCGCACACACTTGCGCAACAGCCATGGAAAGTACCGGCTGGGTCAGACTCGGAGACCACGTACCCTTCCAAGGAGCCAGACTCCTGATCCGTGTATGCCTGGCCGCGTCCTCACAAGAACCATCCTGTGAGGTAGTTTAAAGGTAAAGGTTCCCTTGCTCAAAAGCCAGTCGAGTCCGACTCTAGGGCTGTGGTGCTCATCTCCGTTTTCAAGCCGAAGAGCCAGCGCTGTCCGAAGACGTTTCCGTGGTCATGTGGCCGGCATGACTAAACACCAAGGCGCACGGAACGCTGTTCCCTTCCCACCGAAGTGGTACCTATTGATCTTCTTGCAATGTCCTGCTTTCGAACAGCTAGGTTGGCAGGAGCTGGAACTAGAGACGGGAGCTCACTCCGTCATGCAGCACCCGGGTCTCGAACTGCTGAACTACCGACCTTCCACAGCCTGCAGTTCAGCGTCTTAACCACTTGAGCCACCACAGCTCCTGTCTCCCGGAACTCTAGTCAGTCTGACCCAGTACGCCACACTGGCTCCCAGTAGGTGACTGAAATTTTCCTTTGGGAGAATTAAACTTGTTTTTTTAAAAACCCGCTTCCGCAGGAAGAAGCACCACTACCTAAAGCACACCCTTTCTCTTGATTGTATTTTGTTGGCCTAACACACAGCCTTTTAGACAGGACAGGTCTGAGCTAGACAAAAGTTATTCGCCCCAAACAGTTTGTGTACTCCCGTTATCCCGGTCTCTCAGCATTTTGCAAATTAAGCAGAATTAATTATTTAGGAGGACATTTTTGTAAAGGGAATAGGGCTTTACTGTAACGGGACTGATGTAGGAAGAGGCTTTAATGAATATGCAGTATACAGTGTTATCCTACAATGTAATTATTTTGCATTGTTTTAATGTGCCCTGTTAATACTTGCGCCTGGTTTCAGTCCTAATCCTATTATGTGTTGCATCCTGATCCGGCTGCTTGTGCAGGCTTGCAACATTCAATGGGCCTTGAATCTTTACAGGAAAGGCAGTTTTATCAGTCACATAAATAAAAATAAAAGAGAAGGTAGCCCTTTGGGCACTCGGCCTTCCGTGGCGCTTTGCCCCTGACCATGGAGGTTCCATTCAGCCAACGGCCTCCTCCCCTCCTGAAGCCCTTGAAGTGAACAGCTGTTGCTCAGGTTGCCAACTCCAGGCTGGGAACTTCCTGTAGATTTGGGGGTAGAGACTGGAGGAGGTGGATTTGGGGAGGGATTTCACCCAATAAAACCTGTGGCGTGATACCATGGGATCTGCTCTCCAATCCAATCCTCCAGGGGAATGGATTTTCTGTCGTCTGGTGATCAGTTGTGATGCTAGGAGAACCCCAGACCTTATATGGAGGTTGCCAACTCTGGCTTGGGAGATTCCTGGAGAATGGGGGGGGCAGCATCAGGGCACAAGAACATCAGTTTCTGCTAGACTGTATCAGCCCCCCCCCTCCAAAGCAGCCATTTTGTCCAGGGGGACGGATCTGCTGCAATTCCAGGACAGCTCTGGGCCCCAGCTGGAGGATGGCAACTCATCATGTGGCATGGAGTTCCATCAGCAAATGCCCCGGTCTCTCCAGTAGAACTATTCTCTGTGGTCTGGAGACGAGAACTGTAATTCCAGGAGAGCTTCAGGCCCACCTGGAGCCTAGCAAGTCATCATGTGGCAAGGAGTTCCATCAGCAAATGCCCCAAGACTTGCCAGGGGATGTGATCTCCGTCATCAGGAGATGAGTACGAGCAGGGTTTGGGGAGGAGAAAGACCTCAGCAGGGTATAATGCCAGACAGTCCGCCCTCCAAAGCAGCCATTTTCTCCAGGGGGAACTGATTAGGGATGCCACCTTCCAGGAAAGCAAAAGGGCCTACGACATTGGCACTAGCGACCGCTGCATCTCTCATCTGAAAGCAGGATAGTCTACAACACTGAATCCTGTCTACATGTTCGTCTCTGTGGCTGTGGACTTTCCTACAAGATATATATTGGGTGGAAGTTACAAGGGAGTCGTTACCGGCTAAATATCAGGAGAAACTCCCTAACTGTCAGAGTGGTTGAGCAGTGGAACAGACTGCCTCGGGAGGTGGTGGATGCTCCTTCGCTGGACGTTTTCAAGCGGAGGCTGGACGACCCTCTTTCGGGCGTGTTGTAGGTATGTAGGGCTGTCTTTCGGCTGTGCTCCTGCAGAGTGCAGGGGGTTGGACTAGATGACCTGCAAGGTCCCTTCCAACTCTAACATTCAATGATTCTATTATTCTTTAGGTTTTTGTTATCAACATACTATCTCCCTTATATATAAAAGCCGAATGGTGGTGGCACTTCTCTAGAACATTCCACATGCTCCAGAATTGGTTGGCGCCCTGGTGTGTCACTCAGAATCTCCC